ATATGTGTATAAAGAGAGAGAGAGAGAGAGAGAGAGAGAGAGAGAGAGAGAGAGATTTTTTAAATGTATTTTTCCTGTACCAAATGGTCCACAGACCATGTACAGTTGATATGTAATAATATGATGGACATGTATGACGCATATAAGAGGCTAATTTGTCCAATGTGGCCAATTTTTCGTCTTTCGTGGAGCAGATGTATTTGTTAAAACATCCGAGACAATTTGACCCTACAATGAAGCAAACACTCTACACGGTAATGGACGGCGGTAGGGAACAAAATCTCATTGCGAAAAAGGCCGACCCGGATTCAAACTCAGGCAGCAATGTATCCTACTGGTCCATTTGCGCACGGAAATACAAAATGTACCTTCGAAGTTGCGAGCGAGGAGGAGGAGTTGTAAAACATGGCGGCAAACACTTGTGGGTGAGAGGAAATGGGTCAGGACACAAGCACAGAAAAACCGATTCTCTCGCCGTGTTACCATGGTAACACACCCTATCTTCCGACACTACAGTACCTGGTTTTCTCGCACACACACACACACACACACACACACACACACACACACACACACACACACACACACACACACACACACACACACACACTCTTCGGCAGCCACAGGTTTTGCACCTGAACGCACCGCTGCAGCAGCTGATGTGCCTTGAACGCACCTTATCATCCCACCTGATAAAGTTGTCGATGCTTGCTTGCTTGTGCGAGAACACACAAAGGTTTAATTGTGATGTCGATGCGCAAATTAACACAATGGCTCAGATTTGTAACGCTTAACTAAAATCTGAAGCCAATTTTGCTTACAGCGACCCCAACGTACATGTTTTCCAAAACAACAAGGCCAAATTGTAGTTGTGAATGGGATGTTTTTTGCGAAAAATTAAATGAAATGTAATTTTTGATTGACTATATTTCAGGTCTTGGAAGCAGCAGTACAGATAGTTGAGTGAAAAATGACTAGTAAAAGTTGAAGTATTGATTCAGCGACTGTACTTCAGTAATAGCAACAAATGCAGAGTCTGAAATGTGCTTAAGTGCAAATGTAAAAATGAAGTTGTCATCCATCTTGATAACTTGGCACGAAAAAAATCTGCATCCGGAAGTTTCCCGCTTTCAGTGTCTAAAAAAATGAAATCACTTCACGCATCGTATGCTGTTAAGCGTTTGTTCATACGGTTGAGACAATCCCCCAAAATTATTTGCCTTGACGATTATTCATTTGACTCAACTTTTGGGGTTAAATGAATCATCAAAAAAAAAAAAAATGTCAGGCTTGTATTTTTTTCTGTGTTGTAAAAAGGACTGCAAACTGTCCTTTATGACGGTGGCATCGCTTGACGTTATGGAACTTTTACCGTACAAATATTTGCTGTCAGGGGGAGGATCCAAAGTGACGCTTCTGTTCAAGTTTACGAGGGACGACACAATGGCTTCAATTTAAAATGTAAATGCGTGAAAGGGGCTGCTCAGTTGAATGCATGTCGGCATCACTGGAGTGGGGAAAGCGCTGGAGGCGAGTGAGCAAATCCTGTTAGAAAATGTCAATTGAAAAGGTCTTGAGATATTAAAATATGTCGTTTTTAATTAAAGCTTTATTAATAGATTTTTCAAAAGTTTTTCTTCTATTTTTTTTTTTCATGAATTCCCCTCGCGAAGGCCTGAGGCGTTTTGATTACAACAGTTATCTTGCTCGATACCGACTGCACACAAGCCTCCCTCCTTCCGCCATTTCGGATTAAAAGTCAGACTTCCTGAATGCTCTTCATTAATACCCGGTGCGAGCGATTTAAATGTGCGAATCAGTCTCCACGTGTTTTGTTTATTTTCAAACGTACGCCGCCCCGGCCTCTGCTTCTCTTCATCAACATCGTCATCGGTAGCAATTGGACAAAAACAAGTTTGCCTTTGAAGGACCCCTGGAAATAGCCTAAATTAGTCTACAATGGCAGACTTGGCTTGTTTTTTTCTGAGATGGATTTTTGAGCTTTTTTTGTGGGACTTCTCATGACAGACAAAAAGGTGAACATCAGATTTAATCTTATTATTAAAATCCGGGCTTTGATGACTGAATTTTGCCCACATGCAATGACGAAAACTTAAAATTTGCATTATTTAAGGTGGCCAATCAGTCGAGCTGATGTGGTCAGTCTAAATTCCGTTTGTCTCCGAGGGACACCTGCAAATGACCAAAAATGTCTGCTTCAAATCAAAATGGCAGACTTCCCGTGTCTTTTCGGGCCCAGCTTTTTGATGCCTTTTTCTGGGTCTCAAATTTCATGGTGCTATGTGAAGCCCCTTTAGGGGGCTGAATTTTCCAAAGTCCACTTTGTGGAGTTATTAGATTCATGTTTTATTGCACTGTGATCGGCTGACAACCAGTTCAGGGTGTCTCCCGCCTACTGCCCGAAGACAGCTGGGATAGTTCTCCAGCACGCCCTGCGACCCTTATGAGGATAAGCGGATCGGAAAATGGATGGAGGGACGTTTTATTGCAAGTCACCAAACTTTTCCGCCACACCCCGCCCACATAAAATGCTGAAAATGAAAAAGTCTCACCATTTAAATTGGCCAATCTGTACAGTGGATGTTGTCCTAATTTGGTCGCAATTGTACTAAATCTGTGGGACTCATCAATTTTTGAAGGGCACCTGCAAATGACCAAAATGAATGTAAAGTGTCCACTTTCAATCAAAATTGCAGACTTCCTGTGCTGTTTTGGGCATGGCTTCATGAGAGTTTTTTGTGGGTCTGCTCATGCTCGACATGCATACCAAATTTCAGTTTGCTCAATTAAACCAACTTTGGGGGCTGAATTTCCAAGAAACTCACAAAGGCTCCGTCAAGGTATGTGCATCCTTGCGACTTCATTACCACAGTTTTGAAAAAAAGTCCCCAAAGACATGCTTGTAAAAACAGTGCATGTGACGATCAGCAAAATGGAGTTCATTCTTCTTGCTAAAGGGCAATAAAGTCAGACAAAGACAAACAGGATGCATTTTTTTTTCTTTGGTCATTTCAGTCTGGTTGGCCTTTTATCAAAAATAAATTGACAATGCTGGAAAACATACTAAGATGATTTAATGGCACTCCTCCTAGCAAAAATACACATTATTTTGAAGTTTTAATTAGTTTATTTCATACTTTATATAATTCTTGACATGGAAGAGCTTATGTAAGATTATATTTGCTTCAAACTAACGTTGTAATTTGAAGGACACAATATTGTTCAGGTGGACATTAAAGCATTGAGCAAATTGGAATTTGGTTGCTAACCAAAACAGCAACATTTCCGGAGGCATTTTAATGTCTTTTCCTATGACTTAATTCGTCCGTTTGAACAAATTATCACCTCCTTCAATTAGGCGCTCGTGCCTGTATTGTTCATAGTGACGTGTGATAGGTTACTTCTGAGACTGGTTTCACTCTGTTGCTAACCAAAATAGTAGCACCTGCCGAGGCATGTAAACAGCCTTTTAGATTCAGTAAGTCAACCACTTTAACAATTTTGTGCCTCCCTCAAATAGACACCTGCGACATTATTGTTTAGACGGACATTAAAGAGTATACATTTCAAGCCTGTTGCTAACCCAAACCACAGCTCCTTTCAGGTCACAAACAGCCTGTCAAATGAATTTCATAGCCCACATGGAAAACATCTCCCTCAAATAGACACTTCATAACAACCGCAAGACTGTTCTTCAGATATATCTCCAGAAGTCCATTTGAGCTTTGTTGCTAACCAAAACAGGAGCACCAATGGAATCCCCAACGACAGTCTCTCATTATATTTCAAAGGAAATGTTATTTATTTTATTTTATTTTCTGCTGTACTAGAATAACGTGTAATTGCACATCCACCACAGTTGGTGGCTGTGGTGCTCTCATTGTGTGTATAAGGAATATACTGTAAACCAGTGATTCCCAACTAGTGTGCCGAGGCACATTCATGTGCTGTGAGAGCTCTAACGGTTTGCTGCGGAACATAAATGATTTATTAATATCTAACAATGCATATTTGTCCGTCTATCAATGCCAGCAACTTATAGTGGCAGAAAGAACAAATAAATGATCTTCTCTAATTACAAATACTGGAGTATTAGATTGACATATGTTTCATCTTTTGTGTAACAATTTTGTTTGACGGTGTGCCGTGTGAATTTTCAAATTTAAAAAAATGTGCCTTGGTTCAAAAAAGGTTGCTGTAAACATTGTTAAGAAAGTTAATCAACAGAATTATATCTTTGTTTTTGTTTGCTTGAATGTTAATAAGGATACGATGTTATGCTGAGGTGTGCTGATAGAAAAAAAACATTCAATTGACACTATTTATAGTTGTGGGGGTGCGAAATATGTTCTTTTTTCGGGGGTGGGGAGGGGTCACAGAAAATAATCGAGAAGCACTGCACTAGACACACATCGCAATATATTTCTTGGCAGTCGCCTCCCCCATCTGCAGGTGAGTCAAGAAACGACAGGTCATGAAGTTTTCGCCCCTCTCCCCCACCCAAAAAAAGGCACACGTGAACTTTGCAGGAGTGCAAAAGTCAAGAGTACCACCCCGCCTCCTCCAACTCCTGCACACTTCTCCACATCTGCCCCCTCCCCCGTCGCTCTCTTCCTCCTCCTTCTCCTCCTCTCCCCCGCTCTTCCTCGAGCGAACAGCCCGGCCAAGTTGCAGAGTGCCGCTCAGCCTCGACCGCGCGGCTGCCGCTTGACGCCGGGGGTCCCTGCAGAGGAGCGCCCGCCCGCCCGCCAGCCTCCATGTGCTTGTCCGCTGCGTGCTGAGATCGTGCCAGTTCCCCCCCTCCCCTTACCCCTTAACCCCCTTCCACCAAACCGAAGCACCGAACCGACCATGTCCAACCCCAACCACGACCCCTTCTACTCGTCCCCCTTCGGACCCTTCTACCGGAGACACTCGCCCTACATGGTGCAGCCCGAGTACCGGATCTATGAGATGAACAAGCGGCTCCAGACGCGCACCGAGGTGAGTGAGACGGCGTGCCCGGCCAGAGAGCTGTATGCGCGGCTTGGTGTTGCAGGGGAGACCGGTGGCCTGTGGAGGTCCGGAGATGGAGGAGTCAAAGCGCGATGTTCAAGTGTGACGCGGGGGTGCTTCGTGCTGCGTTCACTTACCCAATTAGTTGACTTAATGAGTTGGCTTCACCTGAATTTCTCCATTGCGTAGATGTAATAAGGCGTAGCTGTTACTAGTTCGCCTCATTTTTGAAGTTTACCATAAGAATTTTGATATGTTCTCATATTTTCTAAGGGGGGGGGACTCCCACTTTCATGGGTTTGGGAGTGCGGATGCGTCCATGTAACCAATTAGAAGACGGCGCACCTGGATTAGGTGAAAAACACTTGCATTTCATTTAAGATTTGCAATGTATGGGCTCTCCATCTAAATGACCTGCAGTACTCGTACTACTTTTCCCATTTAGGAAGTTGTCTAAAATAATTCAGCTTTTAAAAAAGTGTGCATTCAGTGTTTTCCGCAGAAATCATTCTGTCTTTGGTAGTTGAAGGAACCAATCCTGAGTTTATAGTTTCATGCCAGGGATCTGATTCACCTGAAGTAGTTGAAAAAACACTTTAAAGGAATGTTATTCTTATTATTTTTTTGTTTGTTTAGTTTGGACTCTTTACCAAAACCGGTCACCTTTTCTTTTGCAAACAGCAGCTTTTAAAAAAAGTGTGTCAAGTATTCCCAAGTTAGCAGTTGACTTCGGAGACCATGCTGCATTTTCACATTTAAAGGCAGTAATCTTGAGTTTCTAGTTTGACAGGGGGAGACATTCTGCATTCCCACTCCCAGTTTGATTCTTGATGCACTTGAATTGAGTGAAAAGACATGTTCATGAATATTTGTTTCGTATGGACACACACTCAGTTCTGCACACGTATGCAGTAATAGTAGTTTTTCACATTAAGGCTTCTGAAAGAGTTAAGCTTTTGAAAAACTGTAAATGACTTGTTGTGTTTCCAAAGTGAAAGGCAGCAATCTGCGGGTGAAATGATGCGTTCAAGTGCCCAGATGTCTCCGAATTAGGTTCCTAGCAATCACTTTGGACACTCAACCCAGATTTATTACTCGTTTGACTTCTACTTTTTTCGCTGTGTGACATCTTTTCTCTTCTGTTTTAAGACAGAAAGCCCTTGTTTCTAGTTTCATCCGTCCAAATGATGCCTTCATGAGTTAGTCACAAAGTTGTACATGGATGACGGTGACAAGTCACTTTTTTGGGGGATGGACACTGGTTTTGCTTGTGCTCTGATGCCACTCTAGATGTATAGTAGTGTGCTGATTCCTCGTTTATGAAGCTTTCCATAAGACGTCTCCTTTTCATGTGTGGAAGTGCCGTTTTATTTATTTATTTATTTATCTGCATCCTCTGATTTTAGGCCAGAAATGCTGAGTTCAAAGTGTTCCAAATTACATTCAATCTTAACTGCATACTAATTTCTCCCTTTTATGAAGTTGTGAGAATTTGCTTTTTTTTTTAACTGCGTAAATGGTTATTTTCTTCTTTATTGTTTTATGGGAAGGAGGGAAGGTGATGGGTGGGCGTAGTGAATTCGAGGATGATATCACACACCTGAGTTAGGTGAAAGGTTGCTTTTAAAGCATCTTAATGAAGATTTCGGACTGTCATTCTGAAAGTCGTCTTTTGCAGTTTTTCCGATGAAGTTTTCTAGTGTACAATAATTTATTAACTTTTGCTGCAGTAATTTTCCCTCACTATGTTGTTTATTGCGAGAATTTTGATGTAAGTTCATATTTGAAGGCAGAGTTGTGTGCAGCAATCTCGAGTTTTAGCTAACCTTGAATGCAATGTTGTAACTCCATGATGCGTTCAAGGGCCCAGTTCGCTTAATGAAAGACGACTCTTGTTTCGTTTCAAGATTTTCAGGCAGTAGTTGCTTACTTAAATAAACGATTTAAAAACAAACATTCCAAAATAATTACTGGTATACGCAAAGGTATTTCAAATAGCATGTAGTAAATGTACTTACTGGATTCTTTATTTTGTTATCATGATGCATAGTTTTAATATTTAATTCAGTGATGCTTTTGTGTACCACTAGAGGGAGCCCAGGTACCACTTGTGGCACACACACTTTGAGAATCATGTTTCAAGCTGTAGTTTTGTGCAAGAATCCTAAGATTTGATACAGTGACAGCCGCAATTTATAGGAGGATGCGTATGATGCGTTCAAGTACCGAATGAGTCGTCTTGCATGTGAATTACTAAGACTCCATTCAAGTATGAAAGAATATATTTTTTAGCACAATGTGCAATTAAAAGACACATTCTCCACATGCAGTGTATTCATTTGCATGCATTTACATACAAAACTGCATGTTTCATGCATATTGGGCCTCTTTGAAACCAAACTCCAGCCCTCACGCAGGACAACACTTTTCATGCACCCTTCAGTCATTACCGGTGGTGCCTTCAGTGTAGCTCATCGATACAATTTGACTGCTTTTTGTTTTTACGGATCCAATGAAGAATGAATGTATATAAATGTGTTGTTAAAGTTTGTGTATGGTTGCTGCCAAAAGAAAAACAATGAAAACATTTGACTTGTGTGGCTTAATTTGGGATTATTTTCAATATTAAAGTTGTAATCAGAGGATATTTGTGTGGATTTTTATTTTTTTGTAAACTCAATTTTAAAGCCAAGCAAGCAGCAGCTTGCAGATGGCGACTTTTTTTTTTCTCTTTTCCCTTAAGAGGAACTTAAAGCCGAGCGAGGCGGTGCGTTGTAGCCGCGTGATGCATTATTCATACATATCGCCGAGCGCTCTGTCCGCACCACCCCCCCCCCGCCAACCTAGCATACGCATATGCCATAAAACACGCTTTTATGGGTGGACAAATCTCATGAGATGTGTGTAAAATTCCACCTCTCCAAAGATAATAATGCTGATTTAAAAATGTTTGATTGACATCTGTCATAAAGGCTTCATTGATGGCTGAAAAATAAATACCTCCCCCAAATAAAGACCTTTGAAGTGAAATGACCTCAGTTCATAGACGCTACCAGTGTTTTACCTGGCTCAAATTAAGGTGTTACATCTGTATATGCAGCGCCCCCTTCTGGTTCAATTGAACACTGGCATAGTTACATGCATTTTATTTCCCTTTCACACCTTCTTTTTGGACAAAATTAAAATACAGGAACCTTGTTGGTTATTAGAAGGATGCAGCAACACGTGGACAGGTGATGTTAGAATAGTCAGTCACAGGCATGTATTCGTTATGCGCTGTGCAGTTACGGGGTCACTGACAGTAGTTGTGAAAATTCTTGTCAGGTTCGAAATGAACCAAATAATGTTTAGGATCCCAGAAATGAAGACATAGACAAAATGCGAGAACAAAAATGTTTATTATCAAAAACGCGAAACCGACAAAGTCATAAACAGAAAACGTTGGTCACAAGGGTCCAGGAAAAGACAAGGAATCAACAAAAGGCGCTTGCAAAAGGCAAGGTAACAGAACACAGAGAAAACAAACGACAAATGACAAGATCAAACGACTAAACAATGACTATATTTACAAAATGTGGCACAAGGGTAACAAGAACCTCTATGATGAGCTTGAGAGGTCTAGAAAAACAACTCTTGAGCACGAGCAGCAACAAGCTCAACAACCCGACAAGCAGCAGCAGCCAGCTTGTCGGTCCTTCAATACAGGGCCAGCAATTATTGGCAGCAGGTGTGCACACTGAAGGGAAGGCCCTCATCTGCCACCTGCTGGAGACGCACAAGAACAGGATCATGACAATCCTCTTTATATCCGTCCGCGTGACTGTATCGTACTGTCGTCCGGTAGCCACACACCAGAAAGAACTGCAACCAATTAATTATGCTGCACAAACTGTTATGAGTCCTTCCATTCTATTTCAACAGGCTATTATTGTATGTTTTGAAGAGGGACAAGAGGCTGGGCTGCTAGAACTGATTGTCACTTTCATTCATTTTAATGGGGAAATATGTTTTCAAGTCACGTGGTCCTGGAATTTATTTTAACTTGTATCACAGGGAATCACTGCGGAACAGAAATGCATGTGTGCACGGAGCAAAGTTAATCAAGTTGAACTTGGGCTCAATGTGGTTGCGATAAGTGTGAGTTGAAGCCTGGCTTGAGGCATTTCATTGACACGTTTCACAGCCAGAGGCAGAGCACTTAAGTCTCCTCACTTTCATTTGACTGCAGCGCTCTTCCTAAAAAGTGCAAATGTTTTGTTGAAACAACCATTAGTTTTTCTTTATTTATTCATTCATTCATTGCTTTTGGTAACCAACCGACCAAATTGTTTAAATGTGATTCCTTCCTGGGCGGCCTGGCGGTCCAGTGCTTAGCGGGTCAACCTCACAGTGCAGAGGTACCGGGTTCAATTCCAGCTCCGGCCTCCCTGTGTGGAGTTTGCATGTTCTCTCCGGGCCTGCGTGGGTTTTCTCCGGGTACTCCGGTTTCCTCCGGCATTCCAAAAACATGCATGGCAGGCTGATTGAACACTCTAAATTGTCCCTAGGTGTGAGTGTGAGCGCGGATGGTTTGTTCGTCTGTGTGTGCCCTGCGATTGGCTGGCAACCGTTTCAGGGTGTCCCCCGCCTACTGCTCGAAGATGGCTGGGATAGGCTCCAGCACGCCCCGCCACCCTGGTGAGGATAGAGCGGTTCAGTAAATGGATGGATGGAGGATTCCTTCCTCGAATTACGGTGATTTTAATATATTATATAAAATATTTTAATTCATGGTATTTTATTTCAATCAGTTCAGGGTGTTGGAAGACAGCTAATCTGGGCTCCAGCATGCCCACGACCCTGTGAGGATAAGCGGATGAGAAAATGGATGGATATTTTATTTCATTTTAAATGTCCTTTTAAATAAAACAAAAATAAATTAATGCATCCATCCGTAATCCGAACCACTTATCCTCATGATCGTTGCGGGTGTGCTGCAACCTATCCCA